AGTTTTTAAAGTGTGAAATCGAATTTTTTGAAAACCAACTAAAAATAATCGATTATTACTAACTATAATCAATTATTCCAGCAAGAGGTTCAGAGAACCTTGCTATAATAATCGATTATCCTGCAAATAATCGATGATTTTGTTCTTGAGTGATTTCTAGAATTCATGAAGAACAAAATAATCAATTATCTGGGTCTAGAAAACTTTACAAATGGTTCTCACATTTTGAAACAGATACAGAGAATAGAAGAGAGAAAATAATTGATTTTGTGAAGTCTTTGTGACCTTCTTGGAGTATTTTCTTTGTGAAACCAAGAAGAAAAACATTTTGTGAAATGCTTTGAGAGAGATCATCATCATCACTACATTCTTGGAAGAGAAGGATTTAGATTTGTTAAGAATTCAAAGTCTAATTTGCTTAAGCTTCCAGGGGAATTCGTTCCTTTAATTCTTTGTGCAATGTGTTATATAAATCTTGAGTAGGTGTCTCAAGTGATAAGGAATTATTGTAGTGGGTTTCTACAAGATGTGCTTTCTTGGGTGCAAGAAAGGGTCTATCTTGAGTGTTGGAGTGTATGCATGTGTGGTATGCTTGTAAAACTTCTTCATTGAGATAGTGGAACAAATCTTGATCAGGTTATGATTGAGGACTGGATGTAGGTCACATGTGGAGTGACTGAACCAAGATAAAATATTTTGCACTCTTCTTTCATCCTTATCTCTTGTATTGATTAGTCTTTTATTGAATTTTACAAGGACTGATTTTGAGTAATTTGCTTGCATGGTTAAAACTCTTTAAAAGTGAATATTGTCATTGCATACATGTTATTATGAGAGCTGATTCAATAAAGATTAAGCAAGAACTCATATAGAAGTCATTCCCATATACAAGTGGTTCAATATACTTCTTTGAAAATTGTCTTAGAAAAGTTTTGAATGAGATAAAGATCATTAAACTCTAATAAATTTTTTAAGTGTCATTGAATCCAATTCACCCCCCACTTGGATTGAGCCATTCTTTTCTATCAATTGGTATCTACGGCAAGGTTCTTGAGTGTTAATCAAGATTTCAAAAATTTCCAACAGCAACCTACCTTATAGTGAGGGTGTTTCTATTCATAGACGTCCTGTTTTTAATGGAGAGAATTATGTCTATTGGAAAATTAGAATGAGGATTTTCATTGAAGCAATTGACATTGCTATATGGGATGCAATTGAAAATGGACCCCATATTCCTATGACTAAGGAGAGTGTTGGGAAGAAAGAAAAACATTGGAGTGAGTGGAGTGATGATAAGAAAATGAGAGCTCGATATGATTATAAAGCAAAGAACATTATTACATCTGCATTGTCTCTTGATGAATTTTTTAGAATCTCTTAATGCAAATCATCCAAAGAAATGTGGGACACATTACAAGTCACACACAAAGGAACGAATGATGTCAAAAGATCTAGGAAATATACTCTCATAAGAGAATATGAATTGTTGAGAATGTATCATGGTGAATCAATTTCTGATTTTCAAAAGCGTTTTACACATTTGATAAATCACCTTATTGATCTTGGTAGGACATTTGAGAAAGAAGAATTAAACGAGCATGGCTCGTTTAATTTATAGACAAAGATTTGGGAAAAAATAATTGTTTCTGATGCACCCCAGAAGTGCATAACCGTTCTAAACTTCCACGTAGTGGCCTGCTCCCGGGCCCGTCTCTGGATAATTCTTGGAACTGCTCGTTAACTTCCCCAAACCGTTCTGCAGCCTTTGACACTTATCCCATGTTACTTCAACCGCTCCTAATTCGTGTCTCCTTTAAGTTCTCCATTCTGAGAGGTTATGAAGTGTATTCGTATATGTCCGGATTCTTGGGATTTCGAGTAACCAACGAAAACTATATACTTGAATGTTTCCTAATTCTGCTTATACTTTGAGAGGTTGCTAGGCTGTGAGCCCTTTTCCTGAGCAGCACCCTTCTTGGTTCAAGGATTTCGAGAGTTTCACGAAAACTGTCTTCGCGTATCTCCTGATTGGCCCGTTCTGGTGTGCATTTATTACTCACAACTGCCATAACCCGTTCCAAGCTCATTCCCACTTAGATTAAAGACAGTTTTTAATAGTCCAGAACGGCTCGTTCCAACTTGAGAACGGCCCGTTCTGGGCTACGAACTAACATACATTTTGGTAGTTTGGAACGGTCCATTCCAATTCCGGAACAGCCTATTTCCAAACTACTAAATCACCCCTATACTTTTATGAAATTACCAAAATACCCTCAATTAAAAATAAAATAAAATAAAATGAAATAAAAACTGGGGTCTTACACACTTCCACAATCAACTAATGCTCTTAAATTCATTTTATTATTTTTTTCTAGTTTGGAGAAATAGTTTCACTTTTCAAAAATACTATGCGTACGAGTTAAAAACGTAGAAAAAAATTAAAAGTATTTGTTCATTAATTTTCAATAATAATAAAAAATGGTATTCATTGTCTTAGGTATTAATAAAATAAAAATAAAAAATAATTATTTTTATTAAAAACATAAATTTTTAATATTAATTTTCAAGTAATTAAAAATATTTAATTTAATACATTAAATATTTGCTTAACTAAATCAGTGTCTTAAAAATATTCATTAACAATACCCTTCAAATAATTATAATATTAAATAAAATATATTAAATGCTCTATGTCCATAAAATATATATTAAATATTCTGTAATCAGTACAATAAAGACCTTTCTTAATAAAACTATTGACTTTTTAGAATATAAATAAATAAAAATAAAATGTTGTTTATGAGTACACTAAAAATATGGATCTGGTATTGGATAATCAATTCTATTAAATAATTCACATTTAATATTTTCAATTAATAAAAATAAATATTCATGAACAAATTCTTAATTTTTTTTTACCTTTTTATCAGTAAAATTATAATATTGGCAATAACATTCAAATCTAGGAACCATACGTATACTATTCCAATTATGGGTGTTTTGTTGTGCGGTTTAATTTGATTTTTATTTTAAAAATTATTTGAATCAAATAAAAAATTATGTGCGATACAATTTGGTTTGATTTGTAAGTTTAGAAATCCGAATTAAAGTAAATCAATTTTTTTTTTAGTTTGATTTCTTTTACAATTTTTAAAAATTATTATTTAAAAATAAATTAAAAATATGATATTATATTATTTTGTTAAAGACTCATATATTAAAAATAAAAATAAAAATTATTCATATATTAAAAATTTGCAATATGAACATAATGTATTTTAACACCAATAGTCGTGAAAACATTTATTTAATATAATTTTAGTTATGATATTAAATATTTTTTTTCTTATATATAATTTATCACTTAAAATAAAATTATTTTTGAATGTTATAAATAATTTATAATTTTTTATTAAAAATTTAATTTAATAGTTTGCAATGTTATAAAACACTTTTTTAATAAAATATATTATAACATGTGTTTAGAAAGAAAAATCACATTTTATATTATGTATAAATGTTGTATATCTACATTATGTATTTAGGAAAAAAATATTTACATACAAGTACAGTTCATTATGATTTGGATTAGTTTTATATTTCAATTTGAAAATCGAATTGAATAGTGTGGTTTGGGAAAAAAATTGAACTAAACCACTAATTCATGACTTTGTATCATTTTTAATTTTTGGGACTGATTTGTAATTTTTTTGTTTAGATTGGTTCAATTTTGATCACTTAATCTTAATTTTTCTTATATATATATATATCAGTGGAAGAGACTATATATAGATAGATAAATAGATGTATGTGTGTGTATTTGACTAGTTAGAGATTTATTGAAAATAAAAATTAAATAATAAAATAGTGGGAGATAATAATTCAAAAATTGTTATAAAGACAAAAATGTCTAAAGAATAAATTATCTCCTTTAAATATTCTTACAGATTTTTTACTTTAACTTATACTTTAACTTTAATATAAGTTGTTATTAACTTTTTTGTTTTTATGAATGACACCCATTATTCATCAGGAACTTTGATACAAATTTAAAAATATTTTTAAAATATTCTTTATTAAAAAAAAAATTTATTAGAGAAACTTATATCCAAACAAATAATAATATACCATGATAAACTCTTGGTCATTTACTTCTTATCTTCTACAAATTAAAAAGGATATTAAGCGAAAAAAAAAATTATTACCCCTTCTGGACTATATTTTTTATGTTTAATTTTTTTTCACATTTTTTAAGAAATATTTAATATTAGTATATTAAATTTCAAATACTCTTCTCTTATTTAGTATCTTCAATAAAAAAAATAATTACTAAATCGATATATATGTGAAAAAGGATAATTAATATTACTTAGAACATGTATATCATTAAAAAAAAAAATAGAACAAAACAAAAGTGTTAAAACATAAAAAATAAAATAAAAACCATTATGAAGGGAGTAGGTGGTTATGAATCATATACATCATCCAATCTTATTATAAAGCACAATTTAAAAGTAGACAATAATCTTTTTATAATGTAATTTACAAATTTTATAAACATTAATTTTTTTTTATCTTTTATCCCTATTAATAATTATAAAAATATATGTTTTTTTATTGTTAGATAATAATGAGAGAAATTGATAAATAAATATTTTCTCTTATGTCTTAAACTCTTTATTTACAGTTTATTATTGGTGCATAACAGTACATAAAGAATAGTAGTAATATCTATAAAAAAAAATTAATTATAAGTAAAAGGGTGAAATTGATATATTTTATTTTATAAATCCAAAAAAATTAATTAATATAACTTATGATTCTATTAAAAATGTCTTATAAGAAGAATAAGATGAAGTAGTCCTTAATTAATCTTTACATAGTGTTGTTATTTATTTTTTGTAAATTAAAAAACTTGAATATCTCAGACAAACATTTATTGAATTTATGAACATTTATTAATTCTAAATTACCATTTAGTGGAAGTAAACGCACACATGCCGAGTTTGAGGGTCGCCATAAGTGGACCCAAAAGTTGCAAAAGTCAACAAAGGGTGTGTGGTCCATGCATATCTTATGAAGCAAACAACTTAAGATGACGCTTTCTTCAAAAAGGGATTCCTATATGGTTTTAGGGGTCAAAGAACGATTTAGGGAGAAAGAATGAGAGAAATTCTAGTGTGTGTTGTCCAGAGAGAAAATGAGGGGAATGGAGATATTTTGAATTCCTTATTAGCTTAAAACTATTCAGTGTGTGGAAAATATTTAGTTGCCTTAGATTTGCTTGGTCTTTAATTTTTTAATATACTATTTTCTTGTTTAGGCCATTTTGTAATCTATATATGATGAGATTATTATGATATGTGTATGTGTCAGACAACTTTGGAGTTACTTAGAGATTTGTTGAAGTGTGTGTTGGATCTTGGATGAAAGATAGCACAAATGGGTCAAGAAGATGGAACCCAAAAATTCAATAGAATTGGTGGTGGTAGAAGAGGTGTTGGTAGACCTTCCAAAGGGCCAAAGCCAAAAAAGGTGCCACAGAGAGGACTTGGTGTGGCACAGCTTGAAAAACTTAGGCTGGAAGAAGAGAAAACGAATGCAGCAAATGCAATTTCATCATCACCAACCAATTCCCCTTATGATTTTCATCTTCAAATTCCAAATCTTCTGCGCTCCAATCAACCATCTTCTCCAAATTCACTGCCTTCTAGCACTGTTTCATTGGTAAACACTAGTGGTGGTGGCCCACATGATCTCGAATTTGAGAAGAACAACTTTGGGTTGGACTCTGGATTGGCTTTAGCAAAAGTTTTGCCTTGTGATTCCAATCCCATTAGGCCCTTCCCCAATTGGGTGCAGAGATCACAACAACAATATCAACAACATCATCCTCCTTCTTCAATGGTAAGATCCTTTGAAGTGTGATTTTTCTCTCTTGAATTTTCATGATTGTTGTCATCTTTTAGCTCATTCTCTTCCTGTGGAATATGAAAGCTTTGGTTTGGATTGTGCAGGTGAGTGTTTCCTCAGAGACTTCTTCAACAACTTTGCCTCATTCCTCAACAGAGCCCCCTTCAAACCAAAACTATAGTTTAAGCTATGTTTCTAAGAGGCAGGAAGAGAAGGTATCTACAATTTCTAGTCTCAAATTATTAATTTGACTAGCTCAACCATTCAATTGTTTGAAGTGTTTTACATGAATTTTGTTCATTAAATCGTTCATATATCCTCTCTAGTAATTTTGATAAATTCAGTAATTTTCATTAGATTTTTTTCCCTTGGAATTTGCCATATCTTCAAGCTTATAACTGAATGTTATAATAGAATTAATGTTTTGAACTTGGTACAGATGAAAGGAGTTAAAAGGCCAAACCCCTTTTCCTTGGATATTCCACCTGTGTCCTATTCCGATTTTAAACTTCTCACTTCCGCTGCTCCTTTGAAAGCAAGTGAAACAATTTCATGTGGCAGTGGAAGAGAATTCAACTTGGATTTTGGCAATTCAACTTTAAGGTTGGCTCAACTTTGATCTTATGAGTTATAATTGCTTTGTAGTTACAAATTATGAGTTTTTATAATTGCTTTGTAGTTACAAATTTTTCTTGCTCACATTGTCACACTATGCATGTCTACAGGGAAGTTCTTTCCCCTTCTGCATCCAACTCAAAGCTGATCTTAAAGAAGAGCAAAAAAGAGAATAACAATTTTGGTGGAGATTTTCTTAGGCTGGCTCCTCCTACTCCATGCTTAAATTCCAAGTTGAAGTCTCCTTCAACTTCCTTAGCATTTCTCCCACAGGTATATCTCAATTTTAAATCTCTATCTAGTATGGTTGGAAAAGTCTCATGAAAAATGTTAACAATACACACTCTTAACACTCTTTCTAATACTCTTTCTATTATCAATTAAAAATCACAAATTCTAGTTAGTTATATTGCTAAATCATAAGAGATTTGTTAAATGAGATGTAACACTCACAAAATTTGTGATTTTTAATAAATTTAAACAATAAAATGCTTGATAAGCAATTGTCAAGAGTGTATCCTTAGAACCTTTCTTCTCGTATTAGCTAGTTATTTTCCCCATTTTTTTAATTTTATTGTTCATTGTTAACTTCTATTTTTTTTAAAGGGAAATATGGTTGATCAAGTCCCTTCCCCATCAGGGTATAATCAACAACAGCAACAATGGTACAATTTCCTCCCTCCAGCAGCAAAGGTGGTACAAATTGGACAAGAATCAGACAGGTTTCAGGATTGTAATGCAGTGGGAGAAACTATTGATCTCAATTTGAAGCTGTGAACATCTTTGATTAATTTTTATAAGTAGCTAGGTAGGAACTGTCTCTTAAGGATTAGGCATACTGGAGTAGGAAAGATTAGATGCTGATTAATTTCTTTGTTTAATGACTGTGTTTTGATTAGGCCTAATTTTGGTGGGATTGCTTCCTTTGGGAATAGAAATCTGAATTGTTAGTTTCGCAAGCTTGTCTTACTATTTAAAATATGCATTTCAGAAATATTGATTTTCTTAAATATTTTTTTTATTGATGTTTCTCGTAAAATTGTTTTCATGATGAAGTGAGATTTGACTTTCTCAAAGAAATTTTTCAATGATATAAAGTTCACGGTACCCTCATTTACAATCCTAGGAAGTTTTGGAACATTTTCTTTTGTGATAAATAATTAAATGTAATAATAAAAAAATCAATATATATATATATTGTTAGAATACTTATTCTAATTTAAAAAAATATATTTTTATAATATATATTATTTTAAAATTTTAATATAATATCTTATAATTTTAATTACTCCTTTCGTCTCATAATAAGTGATATATTAGAAGAAAAAAAATTCTAAAATAAGTGTCATGTTAATTTTTCAATGTAGTATTAATTACTAAACTTTCATCTATACTTTTAATAATATTATGTAGAAAGAGGGTTTTGTGTTGCATCATTTTTTATCAAAAAGATTAATCATGAGATTATGATCTTGTAAAATTAATTTTTCTTCATCTATTTATTAACTTTTTTGATTTATATAAATATAATTTAGAACAACACTTATTATGAAATAGAAAAAAAATACTTTTTTATTTTTAATTTCTAATAAAAAAGACAAGACAATAATAAAGCTCAAACTTTAAACTTTGTATAAATTACTTCAATTCTCATTTTTAAGTCCATCATAGTATTTAAATAATAATGTTAATATGGAAATGAGCATGAATTGATTTTTTATAGAGTAAATTATAGTCACTCCTTATCTAAAGAAATACAAATATTATACTGCATTTTTTTCTTGTTACAAAATATACACTTTGTTCCATTCACATAGTAATGTACATAACACTTTATCCTTTGCTTGGTCAAAGTTATGGTATTTTCTATTAAAAAAACAATATTCCTAAAAATATTCTTTGCACTAACACTCCTCCTTATAGATTTAAGTATAATACAAACTTTCTTTTTAAGTATTAAAATTAATAAAAGTATGTTTGGTTACAAGTTTAAAAATATTTTTATGAATTTTTTTATATCGAAAAATACTCTTTATTTCCAGTATAAAAACCCTCAAAAGTCCTTTTAACTTGTATTTAAACAAGTTCTAATACCATATGAACAAAAAAATTGTACCTGTACAATTTTACTTGTGTCTATTTTTCTCTATCACTTCATTTATTATGGAGAGAAATTTTTATTAATGATAAAGAGAGATAGGCACAAAAGTAATGTTGTACAATTTTTGTTTTACATATAACACTACTCTATTCAATACACATTTTTCTACCTTAAAAATTATAAATATATTATTAATATTTGTTGGCACAAGTGGTATAGCGATTTCTGAATCAAGTTGTCCAATTGAATCTTGACTTTATGTATTAAATAAACTATGTTGGTGGGGAAATACACACCTTGCTCTTTAGAAGGGTCTTGTTCGCCTTAACTCTCTAGGGCCAAGGAGCACCTTGAGCTCCTACGCTCGGCATGAATCCTTTCACCCAACTTCAACATCACAAATAACACCCCTTGGTCATGCCATTTAAATTTGAAGTTTGGACATGTAATATTTGTCATTTAGGAAGTCAATAATTTTATTTTTAATGTATATCTTAAAAAATATATTAATTGTATTATTACTTTTTAATTTTTAATATAGACCAATTTAACCGGTTCAATAAGTCACCCTCTAGTTTGACGACTAAACTATCAAATCATTATCTAGATCGATTCAATTTTTATGACATTGTTTCGTATAGTTATTTTACTTTATGACTTACGATAAACATTGATTTTTAATGATCTATTTTTCAAATTAAAAGTTCTTATCAAAGAGATCAAGTTTACAAATTTTAATGAAGTTGAAGTTGTTTGATACTTTGTCACAATTCAAATTAACTTATAATATTTTTCTCCAAGTATATGCATGCTAATTTAACTTTAGATAATGAAATATTAAATAGTTTTCAAAATTTATTAAAATTTATATAATTATTTTATTCAATAAAATTTTTTAATTTAACAACTAAATTGTTGAAATTCAATAAATATTGTTAGTTAGTAGAGTAATTCAACCAAAAAATTTTCTTAGAATAACTTGATCCTCACCTAATATATATATCACCTAATATATA